CAACTACTACTACTACTACCACCACTACTAACTACTACTGCTACTACTACTACTACTACTACTACTACTAACAACAACAACTACTACTACTACTACTACTACTGCTACTGCTACCACCACTACTGCTACTGCCACTACTGCTACTACTCCTTTCGCAGCTTCACGTCTCCCTCCCTCACTAATAACTACTACTCTTGCTTGGCTGCGGGCTCTCCTAAAGAGCTGTCGCTTCAACTGTAAACTTTTCCGGCTTGCAGCTGCCACGGACACAAGACTGTGACGTCCTTTCCTCTCACTCCTGCGGGGTCGGCGGCTTGAGCCGGAGGCTCTTAAATAAAGGTTTGATCGGGAAATTCTTTTCAGGATGCACAGCAGACGTTCAAAGGAGTGGGGACCTCGGATTCGGGAGATGACGAGAAATCGCCACGGAGCCCACAAGCACCCACAAGCGTTCACGAGTGTCGCGTTTGTCCTGCATAATTCATGGGGAAGTCCCCACAAGGCGTGTACTAGTAGCTCAAAGGCAATTCCACCCGGGGCTTGTCCAGCAAGCTCCTGGAATGCCCTGTGCATCTGAGTGACAGGAGGGTCCTGCAATGTAGCAGGCTAAGTCGGGATTTCACACGAGGCGTATCTTGGCACGTGGTGGCAAGATCCTGCAAGGCTGCAAGGGATCCTGTTGCAAGTAATTTGGGGTCCAGAAGAGGGTGCAGTAATTTTCCAAAAGTCCCGCATGATCAACTGGCATCCAAAAGTGGAAGCATCATGATGCATCTTGATCTTCATCATGACCATCAGCAACGGCAGCAGCTGCCAGAAACATTTCTAGACGGGCAATATACACATAAGAATCGCGTTGACTGTTGCAATCATGTCTGCCATCGTCGTGGTTGTGCAGGATCAAGCCAATGCCAAACGAAACTGGATCCGACAGTTGGTTGGCTTGAAATGGCAGCACCTACGTGAGACCATCCTGTACCGGTTCGAGCTTGGCTTGACTGTGCCCATATGGGAACAAATCTTCTGATGCCAACTGTTATGATAGAGATGATGCGTGCTGGATAGCCACGTCGGCCCCTATGCTAGACGGCTACACACCAAACAGCCAATGCATAAGAAGCATCGGCGAACCCAAAACTCCAGAATCAACAAGACCAACGAAGTGTGCCAACTCTTGCTGAGACCTCTAGATCCGAAGCTCGGACCGTTGCATTGCAAAGCTTGACCCAACAGCAGAACTCCAGATTCTTCTGAACTGTTGATGTCAGCGGCGACGTTGGCAGGCATGATGAGTGATCCGATCATTGCCAGCAGCCCAGTCAGAGAAAAAAGAATCAGCCACATCGCCATAATCCTGCATGCAAAATGCACAGAATCGTGAAGCTGGATACAATCACTACGAGATATTCTAGGTCCACGCAATGATGCGGCAAACCTCCAAGTTGCACAACGAACATCAACGCACCATACATTCGCAATTGTTCTGCTCTTGACGAGGCGAAACAAGACACACGGGAGCCATTTGGGGAACAAAAAGCAAAACAAATGGCACACCTCCACCAGTCACGAGACCAGACAGAAGAGACAAGCAGAGACATACAGGCTCCACCTCCACGTCAAGAGAGACAACTTGCAAAACCAGGCGATATGGATGGGGAGGAGGAAGCCTTCGTAGGCTTCCGACGTGGATGGCGCAACAATGCGCCACGAGGAGTCGGGAGACAAGGCGGAACATATCAACTTGAAACATCGCAACTGCATTTGGTTTGGAGGGGCTTGAAGCGGATCTCTGCAAAAATCCAGGACTGGGGATCCTCCAGACGCTCATGCGCTGCCCCAGCAGAAGGCTGGCACCACTAAAGGCTTCTGGGAAGTTGGCGATGAAGATCGCTACCAGGAAGGAGAACGTCACAGCACCCTCGTTGGTCATGAATCCCAGCCTCAAAATAGCACGGTTCCTATGAAAACTGGTCACCGACGCACTGTTGATGAAATGAATGACCAAGAAGAATAAATGAGGAGGAGGACTGAGGATGAGGATGGAGATCGATGTGACCATGACGACAAGTGGAATGATAATGAATGACAGGGTCAGCATCATCGCCAGAGTCATTACCGTTGCAATAGCCAGCTCTCGGTGCGGCAGTTCTGCACGGTTAACTTTACGAGATACGCTACGAATGAACGAAAGCTCAGCAGACTGGCCGCCGGGTGGCATAAGGGCCTCTGGAATGCCGTCCTGAACAGGTGTGGATGACTCTTAGCCTAGAATGGGATTGCAATGTAGGAATCTGATCCACAAGCCCTTAGTTCCAAAACCCATGCCGGTATCCTTCAGGCTTAAGAATACCATTGAGAACAAGGAGTTTCTGAAGCATTTGCTTACTAAAGCCGAGAGTGCAAGCAGAGCGTCAAGCATCATCCCCAACCACATGGACAAGGCCACATTGCCAGAGCTTGTGGTCACCTGCAAACGGTGCTCCACCGACACACTCAGACTAGTGCTGCGTGTGCTTCACGGAGTTGTCCGGGAGACGGACCTCTCCGGTGTCGTCTTCGTGTAAAGTTGAGGCCCTCCGCAGCGACGACAACCTCGGCACTGGCACTTTTGTGCTCGCTCGACAGACTTCCCCTAAATTGCGTGCGCCGCGTCGCCGCGCACTCTTCTCCTCTTCTCTTGCCCGGCTGCGCAGCAATGGGCGGTAGCGGGCGTGTCTCTGGGACCGTCTCGATGCCGGCGCCGACACCGAGCTCCAGGCCTCGCATCGCGTGAATGGCCGGCCGTTCTTGCATCCAGCTCTGTTGGCTCCCGGACTCCACCTGAACCCCGACGTCCGTTACGACGTTACGACCTCCCACGATCCTATGAATCCGAATTCCAAGAATCTGATCTCCCAAGTGCAGCTGGGCCACTCCGCAGGCTTCGGGTGTCGCACTCGGCCGTTTGCTGCTGCTGCTCAGGTTTGCCAAGGTTCTCCTGCACTGCGAAACTGTTGAACCATCCAAGGCTTCGGCGTGTGAAGCCAGGTGCGAGATTGAGCTGTCAATGGTACGTCCATGTATGGAGTGTCTCCAGCCACCGATTCAGGGCGAGGTAAAGGCAAGCTCCAATCATAGCGCAGATGATCCTCAGGCTTCCATGCCAGCTGTACGCGTAGTTACCCTTCTTGTGCCTTCTGTTCTGCATGTCGCTGGCAAGGGCACCGCCACCCAGCCATAAGGCGAAGCCCCAGCACTACGTGTCCGCCAAATTCTGCCAAGTCTCTGCAGCACGACGTTAGTGCACCGCTCCTCAAGAACAGTTCGAAGTCTCAAGAGTGCAATCTCGCCTAGGAGGAGGCATTGACTATCACTGACTTGAAGGGTTTTTGAAGGATGTTGACATGGCATGTCCAAGCTTCTCTCTCAATTCCGTGCCTTGCAGGCCGGACCGCAGCCTGGGCGCGGACCATACCTTGGAGACATAAGCAATACCACAAGAGTTGGACATGTGACGGCTTTCGGGGACCCGACGTGGAGGCAGCCAGCCGGAAGAGCGACTCGCCGTAGAGCTGTGTGGCCTGAAGAAGTAGAGACGTCGGTCTCTGCATGAAGTAGTGGATCCTCTAAGCCGGACCTAGTGCACTAGCTACTCGTGCTGGCATTGCAGCGACACGTGGAAGAGCCTGTACAAGACACAGGTGACGGTCGAGGGCTACCCTCCTCCATGCCATGCGCACATGCTCTGCCAACTGGCCAAGTTGCCACAGCAAAAACAAGCGCTCCTGATCCAAATGCCATCCTAGGCGGCAGAAGCCCGGCGGCATCAAGCTGACACTGTCGAAGATCATTGCTGCTTTTTCGATGCTTCTCGAGACACAGTGGCATTCACTGTTCTAACTCACAGGCCACCCTGAAAATCCTAATGATCTCTGCCCAGCAGCCATCTGGCGGTGACTTTGCTTGAGACCTCACTGACACCAAGGAGCGGACCGCTACGAATCTACCTATGGAAACTGCGAGACATGTTGCAGAGGCGTTTTTGCCGACACACAGATTGCAGAACGGACAAAAAAAAAGGCTATTGCACGCGGCTACACGACAAAAAAACAGACACTAAACCCTCCACAACCTCCGGGGCTCCTGCCGGTGCCAAGGCGATGCCCAGCAAAGCACCGAGTGGCAGCGACAGCCTTCTGGCTTGCTTCCCGCGGCTTCGTGCGTAGAACAAAATCAACCCGATGTAGAACCAACCAGAAACACTAAGCGGTTCAGTATGAAGATACGGTACTTCTCGATCGGCACTGGCCTCTCTGAAGGGCTCTCAGCGCTGCAGCCCGTTCTCAAAACGAGCAAACTGATTCCCCAAGATCGGCAACAAGCTCGTCTGAGAAGGCTAGCTCGGTATCTACTGATCATCCCATAAGGCTAGCATCCTGTTCCCGAACACAACCTTCGATGAGCTTATAGTCTCGATGCTCCGAGATTCGCAGAGAAGAGCCCGAACAGCAGCGCTTGCACCCACAGAGACGCCGCCATGATTGTGCAGGCAGCTTCGAGCTGTTTCTTGTTCGCGTCTGTGTCTGCAACTGCTTTCTAGTCTTGTGCAGCAGCGATCGGACTGAGTAAACCGGATGACCCTTTCAATCATCGCATACATGAGGGCGCTTGCTTGATTTAACACTATCTTCGGCCGTGTGTGTTCCGGTCTGGAGTCTAGCGGTACATGCATGTAGGATGATTCAGGATGATCCTGTCGTGCGACAATGGCCACTGGCCCGAGCTGGATGTCATGAGTCCAGGGATTTTCCTCAGCCTGAGAACCAAACGGGAGGGAGTCAGGACAGGAACCGTTCCGAACCTGAAGCAGGCAGGTACCTGAAGTGCACACCGCAAACTTCTCACCGACGTTCGCGGGAAACTCGAAAACATCTACATTCCAACTTGGACTTCCTCATACCCGCATTGACACACACGCTTGGCCCACTGCGAAGACGCGGTGATCTTGCCTGCCTTGGATGTGCGACCAGGATTTTTGCGTCACGAGCTTCGATTCATTTGGCCAATTAGCAGCAGTCAGTGAGACGTCTTGATCTTTGGTTGATTTTTGTTGAACCCCGGCCAAAACCCCACGCCAAGTTGCGTAACCAGCATTGCACACGCAGCCGCTCGGCACGCTGCTTCCTGTCCAGGCTCGTGGGCAAAAGCGCCCTCTAGTCCGGACAGGACAATGCTGCCCAGGGGTACAACAGTGTGTGAGGCTGCAGGGGCGGCGGCTCTTGCTGGTAAAGACAGGCTGGGTGGCTTGCCTGTTGAGTGAGCAGGGCATGCTACAGGCTGGCAGCTGCCGCTGTAGAAAGGCGCCGCAGAGGTGGCCGAGATGGTGCCGGAGTAGCCGGCATGACCTGGCCAAGAACAATTGTGGTGTAAGGATTGAGGGCGTGCGGCAGCAATGACAAGGACCAACATGATAGCCGGGCTGCTTACAACCCCTCCCGATCTCGTTTTTGTCGAGAGGCACTTGCAGCCCCTGGGCACCGTTCCCGTGGAGTGGGCCGGGCATTCGACCTCACGCAGAGGCAATGTGGGACCGAAGGCATTTGACGGAGTAAAGCCGCTTGCTGCCGGACCACCGGTCGGCAGGCTCCCGTGTAGAAAGGAGAAGCACTGGATGCCGTGATGGTGCCAGAATAGCCTCAATTACCGGAGGGCAAAGGACGGTAATAGGACAGATAACACAGACAGTCTGTCACAACCTGCGAAAGCACACTCCGAAGCTCCGAAGGAGCCTGCGTCACAGGTGCAGCCGGAGGCGACATCCTCTCTTCAAAGGTCTGAAGCTTCTTGAGAGCTTCTTTGGACTGCTGTTCAGGGGAATCCGGAGACCGAGCGACTCCATTAACGGGGCAGCTTCGGGATGCACTTCGGGGTCTTCCAAAACAAGCGCCACTGCCCACAGAAGTCCTTGCCCGTGGAGAAGGCCGGGCAGGCCACAGCCTCGCAGGTGCTGTGGTAGAACCTGAGAGCCACTGCATAGAACATCTGTCTTGACTGCTTGCACTGACCGGCGGCTAGAGAAGCAAAGGTCATGGGATGGCGGAAGCAACTGGAGGAGTCTGCAGATCTGCAAAAGGAGCTGCAAGACGCAGAACTGCGCCGGAGATTGGATCAGTATCATGGCCGCAGCAGCGTCAAGCATCTGGAACCCTACACATCCCAATCCCTAAATCCTGCATCTGCATTCCATTGCCGGCCGGGCCGCGGTGCACTTTTCGTGGCTGTGACTTTGCCGGAGAAGCCAGCATCGCAAGCGCAGCCCTTGACGACCTGGTACAGGAGTCAGTGGTTTAGGGGTTTGGGGTCTGTAGTGTTTCGAGGCTTAGTGACTTAAGTTGTTTGGGAGTTCATGGCTTGGGGTTTGCAAACCAGCCACGTAACGTACTCTACTCACCGAGGTTGCCGACAGTTCTTTGAGTGCCGCCAGAAAGCCCGCATATCATCACGCACGCGTAACAGGCAAGCGGGCGAAAAAGCAAAGGGCAGGCTTCGCCGGTCACTCTTGATTTAAATTTCGGGAATCCCCTTCCCTGCTCCCTTCCAGATGAAACTCCGGTCACTGTTAAGACTTGCCGGGCGCGCGTTGCGTCCACTGGACTTCGCTGGGCAGTCCACGTGCTGCCAGGGTGTGTTCAATCAAAGGCTTCCTATGGCAAACTAAAACACACAGACACATGTCCGCAGCTCGGCGTCGCTTTGCAAATGGCTGCTAGTAGCTGGGAAGCCACCAGGCGAAGCGATGCGAAGCGTTGCCCCCTGCCTTGCATTCGCCGGTAAAGTAGGGCGAGCTCGTCGCAGTGGAGATGCTCCCACTGTACCCTGCGACCACGATGCTTGGATGTGGTTCTGGAGTTAAGGGGCCTCAAAGCCCTCAACACGGCAGCGCGTTTGCAGCACGTCTTGGGGGCAAATGCACTGTCAAACCACGGCTAAAATTTGGTGTGGACGAACTCTGTACTTGTATGCTTGCTGTCATGCGATGCGCTTCGACCTCTTGACGGGCCATTGCTAGCCAAGGCCTCCCATCAGCCCCATTGCGGATAAACACCATAATATGTCAGATATCCGCATGAAAATGGCACACCCGGAAACCATGCATGCAGTCGTCCCTCTCTTTTGCATGGTGGATGGGTGTGGCTGCCGACTCCCAGGAGAGTCCTTTCGGTCGGAGAAGGACAGTAACATTCCAAAACTT